CTAGAATTTTTAAATCATTTTTTAGGACACAACTCAGATACCGGACAATATTCTTTAAATTATTTTTGAACTTTATTTATTTATTTGTGAATGATCATCTGAGTTACGGGTGTATTTTTTAATATTTTCTTCCAAGACCTATTAGAGCTAGAGGTGTGGATTATTTAAAGAATATTTGGAATATCTAATTTTATTCTTTGTCTAAAGATGCGCGAATCAGATAAAACATAGACATGTTAATTAGATAATAAATAGATAAAATTCCATATCTTTAGTTGTTTGATAAAAAACACAGGTAGCTAAATGCATGATTTAACATGTCATGGTCGCGATAGAAAAAAAACATTTTTTTTAGTCTGATGAAAAGCGTTTTTTTATGTATGTTATCAAAAAGAAAATGAAAATGTTATCAAAAGTCATTCACCTTATTATGTGCTTAAGAATTCAAACGGAGAAGTAGAATCTTCCAAGGAGAGCATTTAAGAAATATTCTTTAAAAATCCTCGACTCGGTTGGACGTTTAAAAAAATATTCCCTAAAAAATCCACGCTTCGGTGAGACGTTTAAAAAAAATATTCTTAAAAAATCCACGCTTCTGTAGGATGTTTAAAAATATATGTGGTTGAAAAATGTTCTTAAAAAAATCCACTCTTTCAATATTCTTTAAAAAAATATTCACTGAACAAATAATTTAAAAATCCACACCTGAAGCTTTAATTGTTCCTGGAAAAAATAAACTTATATTATTTAAAAAAAAAAATAAATTTAAATTATTATTCTAAAAAATTAGTTAAAAAATCCACTCAAGGACCTTAGAAGATCGCTCCAAAAAAAAATCTATTTTAAAAATCGGCAGCATGGATTGTCATTTCTATATTTTTCAAGGAAACAAATCAAAATTCTCTTTATCGCCCCCTACCTCCTCCAACAGTTCAGTTTATTATTACAATCAAAGAGTAATCTATTCTCTTTGTTAATCTATCGGATGAGAGTAGTGTTGGTTTAGGCAAAACATATGATCATCAGAATGTCTTGCCCCAACCATCATGCACTATTTCGTCATTGTCATAATTTGTTGATCTTGTTGTTGTTGTGGTGGGTTTTTTTGTTTATTATTCTAAATATAGAACAAACCGATTTTATGAAGAAATATTATTTATTATTATTATTACTATACAGCAAAAAACAACAACAGCAATATTCAAGAGAGACCCAAGGGAATTATTAGCAGCAGCATCATCATCATCATCCAAAAAAAAATGTTGTTGTGTGTACGGGAATTGACTATGTGAACAAGTGTTGTAGGTGAGTGCTTACGTGTGTGTGCGTGTGATTATCAGACCACTGCACAGTTGTCACAATCACAAAATTTTTGGCCAAAATTATTTTTTTGAAGTTTCATATTTTTATAATTTATTTGCGCGAAATAATAAAAAACATTTCAAACCATCCGAAAATAATTAGTTTTTCTAAATACCATTAATAGCCGCTCGTTGGTGTAATGCTAAAGTTGAAAAATTTTTACGAAGAAAGTTGTAATATCTCGGTAGGGAGATAAACGTTTGTGTGTATATTGAAAATTATTTTTTACAAATATTTTTGAAATCTTCTTAAACTTTAGAAAAAATGTAAGAATATCGTCTCCTCCAAAAAATTTTTGGAAGCTGGCAGGGGTATGTACTATCATATTCAGATGAAATATTTTGCCTTATTTTGCCTTTTTTAGAAAAAAATGTATTTTTCTACTTTAAGTTGAGTGAAATTTTTTATAAATTGATGTTTTTATTGTATATAGTATTGAACTAAAAATGTGGGATAAAGACAAAGTTTCATCCGATTTTTCTTAAAATTGATATTTAAGGTTTTAATAGTATACAAAACATAAACATAACATATATAAAACATATATAAAAATGACAGATTATTACAGTAGTCGTGTCAATAATCTCACAGACGTATTTAATAGAGCATTGGATACATCTGATCCACTTATATCATCTATACACCTAAACGCCCACTTACATAATATTTTTCAAACCACCATCAGAGGCGTGGATTTTTTAAATAATATTTTTCAAACCACCATCAGAGGCGTGGATTTTTTAAATAATATTTTTCAAACCACCATCAGAGGCGTGGATTTTTTAAATAATATTTTTCAAACCACCATCAGAGGCGTGGATTTTTTAAATAATATTTTTCAAACCACCATCAGAGGCGTGGATTTTTTAAATAATATTTTTCAAACCATCAGAGGCGTGGATTTTTTAAATAATATTTTTCAAACCATCAGAGGCGTGGATTTTTTAAATAATATTTTTCAAACCACCATCAGAGGCGTGGATTTTTTAAATAATATTTTTCAAACCACCATCAGAGGCGTGGATTTTTTAAATAATATTTTTCAAACCACCATAAGAGGCGTGGATTTTTTAAATAATATTTTTCAAACCACCATCAGAGGCGTGGATTTTTTAAATAATATTTTTCAAAGGATTTTTTTGTTTCTTATTTTTTAATTTATTATGGGATTCCGGTTTGTTGATGTAATGTCTGACTTAGTTTTGGTCCATTTATAATTTTTGATTTTATGTTTTGTTCTGTGTGAAATATTTAATTTCAAGTGGGAGTTTTTAATTTAACTTTGATAACTTGAAGATGGAATCTTATTTTTACCTTTTTAATAATCTTGTGTGTTATAAAAGCAATGCAAATATGTTTGGAATCTTTTAATTAAAAAATTAGGTTTTTGGTTACGTGGGAGTGCCACTCAAGTGGACCACTAGCGATTGAGGAATGTCAAATTTAATGTGAAAAAAATTTTCCCATGAAAGAACTTTTCATATTTTGTTTGGGATTGGGATTTTACCTTTTCTTCTCCATCTCCACCACCTGGTAAAATTATCCAAAATAAATTCCTTTTATATCCATATTTCCCAATTTTCGTGAATATTGTTCTTGCTTTTTGGTTTTGAATTATAGTTCCCATAATGCTTGTTTAGCTTCAAAAATCTAAAACAATACCTTTGTTGTTGTTTCTATTTTGTTTATAGCATCACAAAGTTAGTTAGTGTGCAAAAACAACACAAGCACTGTCACATAACTTGGTTAGTATCCTAAATGTTGCACCTAGCTGGCTATATTTTTGTTCCTCCATTTCGTATTTCAAATAAAGGGCTGATTTCATCATGGTACCATTTTAGAGTAAGGAATGGGAAAAAAATACTGAAACTGCAATAACAGCAAAAATGAAATATGAACGTTGATTATTTTACGAATGTTTTCATTTCGTTGAATTTTTCAGTTTTTTTTTTTTTTTGAATTTGGCTTTGTTACATTGCTTTGTCAGGCGTAAGTCGGAATAGGGGATATTCAGGAAGAGTTATGATTTTATGTGCATGTGACCATTATGGTGATAGTGGTGATGATAGAAATCACCACTGGCACCTTGCGATGTGACAGGAAAGCACCGAGCAACATTTTCAACGAGGGTCCTTTCAAGAAGTCAAGAAAATATTTATAGAGGATTTTTGTAAGAATGCATGGATTTGTAAAAGATATTTTTTAAACTCCATTTAAGGCGTGGATTTTTTAAAGAATATTTTTTCAAGTTCCATATAAGGCGTGAATTTTTCCATCTAATGAGTGGATTTTTCAAAAAGTATTTTTTCAAGCTCAATCTATGGCGTTGATATTTCGAAAAAAAATCTTTCAATCTCCATCTAAGGCGTGGATTTTTAAAAGAATATTTTTTCAAGCACCAATACAAGGCGTAGATTTTTTAAGGATGCAGGGCGTGTATTTGTTAAATATTATTTTTTTAAGCACCAATACAGGCGTAGATTTTTTAAGGATACAGGGCGTGGATTTGTTAAATATTATTTTTTTAAGCACCAATACAGGCGTAGATTTTTTAAGGATACAGAGCGTGGATTTGTTAAATAATATTTTTTCAAGGGCTATACAAGGCGTGGATGTTTTAAAGAACATTTTTTCAAGGACTATACAAGGCGAGGATGTTTTAAAGAATATTTTTTCAAGGACTATACAAGGCGTGGATGTTTTAAAGAATATTTTTTCAAGGACTATACAAGGCGTGGATGTTTTAAAGAATATTTTTTCAAGGACTATACAAGGCGTGGATTTTTTAAAGAATATCTTTTCAAGGACCAAAACAAGGCGTGGATATTTAAAGAATATTTTTTCAAGGACTATACAAGGCGTGGATGTTTTAAAGAATATTTTTTCAAGGACTATACAAGGCTTCGATTTTTTAAAGAATATTTTTTCAAGGACCAACACAAGCCGTAGATTTTTTAAGCAATATTTTTTCAAGGACCAACACAAGGCGTAGATTTTTTAAGCAATATTTTTTCAAGGACCAACTCAAAGCGTGGGCTTTTCAAAGAATATTTTTTCAAGGACCAACTCAAAGCGTGGGCTTTTCAAAGAATATTTTTTCAAGGACCAACTCAAAGCGTGGGCTTTTCAAAGAATATTTTTTCAAGGACCAACTCAAAGCGTGGGCTTTTCTAAGAATATTTTTTCAAGGACCAACTCAAAGCGTGGGCTTTTCAAAGAATATTTTTTCAAGGACCAACTCAAAGCGTGGGCTTTTCAAAGAATATTTTTTCAAGGACCAACTCAAAGCGTGGGCTTTTCAAAGAATATTTTTTCAAGGACTATAATCGAGGATTTCTAATTAATATGTTTTGAATGTCTATACAAGGCGTGGATTTTTAAATAATATGTTTTCAATATCTATACAAGGCGTTGATTTTTTTAATATTTTTTTCTCATGGACCGTACAAGGAGTGGATGTTTTATAGAATATTTTTTTAACTACTATCAAAGGAGTGGACGTTTTGAAGAATATTTTTGAGGGACTATCAAAGAGGAATATTTTTTAAGGGCTATCAAGGGAGTGGATGTTTTAACGAATACTTGTTCAAAGAAGTGGATTTTTAAATGGCTTGAAGATTCCTTTTTTTAAAACAAAAATGTTAAATTATGAATATGGTTTTGTAAGTTATTTTACCTCGATCTTAAATGTCCACCCCTCATTCTTCCCTACAATATGCATTAACATTATCATCATTTCCATGCAGCATCACAACTCTGTATGAGTTGGCAAACAAAAGCCCGTTTTTGCCGGATGTTATGTTAATGCGGCATGAAGACAAAAAAACCTGGGATTTTTACAATAAAACTTTTTTTTTGGTATGACTACCTCATCTCAGTTTTTTTCCTGTTAATTTGCTGGCTACAGCAGAATGAGAAAAAAAATGCACAAATGAAACCGAAAAAAACAATGAAAATGAATGAGAAAGCTGAAAAAATTAAAATAACTATTTGTATGAGCCTCTCTGGCTGACTGGGCCTTAGTATCATCGGATTTAGTTTATTTCAGTGCTGGACGAACCGTTGGGTCGTTGTTGAGTTCTGCTGAGTTGAGTGAGCATATTAAATGTGAAAAATCCCTTTTTATTTGTCTGTCCGTCTGCGAGTGTGTGTGTGTCATTGCAGTTTCACTTTTTTTACTTTCATTTATATCCGGCAGTTTCCATTGTTGACGTTTTATTTTTTTAAATAATTTTTTTTGTTTTGTTTTTGTTTCATTCTCTTCTGTTCGACTTCTTTTACACTTTTTCATCGTTTGGTTTATGACACAGGAAATGCGCCTATGCCACTAACCCAGATAATATTTAAGAAGAAAATGATGATGGTGGTCGTGGTGATGACTCAAAATGAGCGCCCTTTTAAATAGCGCAAAATCTCGGCCGTAATTAAAGCATATTGTTTTCCCACGAACAACTGCTCACACACAAACAAACATTTTATTTTATGCACTCTCGCTCACACCTACAAACAAAAATAATTTAAATGGGGGACAATGCCAACGTGAATGCAAGTGTACCCTAAATGAAAACAAATGCTCTACTAAATCAAGTGAAAAGAAAAATGTATGTTTGTATGAGAGAGTGTGTGTGTGTGTTTGTGTGTCGTGAAGGAAAAACCTACCAAATGAACAGACATTTTAATGAAAATAGAGAACACTTCAAAGAGTTTTTTCTTCAACTAAATGCATGGCAAGTGACAAAGGAAATTGTTGTGCTTGCGTGTCTTTGGCTTATTGTCGATTTGTACGCAGTTTGACATTGTTGTTGCATTTTAATTTAAAGGTTTTAAGAAATATTTAATATTTAATATTTAATTCTACGATAAGGTTCCCCAAAAAATAGTTTAAAAATGCTCGCCTATGAAAGGTTCTCAAAAATTATTTTTAAAATTCCACGCCTATGTAAGGATCTCCAAACAATATTTTTAAAAATCCACGCCTATAGTCCTTAAAATAAAATTCCTTAAAAATCCACACATTTGAAACAAAATTCTTTAAAAATCCACGCCTATCAGATAGTCGTTGAGATAGAATTCTTTAAAAATCCACCAATATAGCTGTGATAGCCTTTGAAATGAAATTCTTTAAGAATCCACGCCTATTGTGATGCCAGTCCTTGAAATAAAGTTCTTTTAAAATCCATGCCTATCAGATATACTTTGAAGTAAAATTCTTTAAAAATACACGCTGTAATTGTCCTTGAAATATTTTTTAATCCCCGTCTATACCTGTTAAAGTCCTTGAAATAAAATTCTATAACAAATTCCCGCCTATAGCTGTTAAATTCCTTGAAACACAATTCTATAAAAACTCCAGGCCTAGAGCTGTGATATCCCTTGAAATAACACTTTTTAAAAATCCACGCCAATAGCGCCAAAAGTACTTCAATAAAACTCTTTTAAAATCCACGTCTGTGGCTGTGGTAGTCCGTGAAATAGAATTCTTAAAAAATCCACTCTTATAACCTTGAAATACAATTCTTTAAAACTCCACGCCTATAGCTGTGATTGTCCTTGAAATGTATTTCGATGCTTACAACTTATATCGTCATTGAACCATATTTTTCTTTGAAATACTTACTTACTTAGCTGGCTTGTTACAAAACGGTTGTTCCATAAGCCGAGCTTAAAAAAGATTTCCAAGCGCGTCGGTCTTGTGCGCAAATCTACCAATTTGGAAGACCACGTTCCAAGATGTTGTTTTCTAATTGGCCTTTCCATCTAATTGGTGGCCTTCCCCTTATACGAGAACCATCAGTAGGCTAGCTTTTATATACTGGGGCATTCTCCTTCATTCGCACAACATGACCTAGCCACGGTAGTCGCTGCAGCTCAATACGACTGACTATGTCGATGTCCGCGTATAAATTGTAGAGCTCGTGGTTCATTCGACGACGATATTCAGCGTCCACGCAGATCGGCCCGTAGATCTTTCGGAGAGTTTTTCTTTCAAACACCCCAAGAGCTGCCTCATCTGCTTGCGCAAGTACCCATGCTTCTGATCCATATAATAGCACGGATAGTATCTGCGTCTTGTAAAGTGTGAGTTTGGTCCGGCGGGAGGTGGCCTTGTTTCTAAACAGCTTACTTAGTAGCATCTGTTGGCCATCACAATTCTTCTTCGAATTTCAAAACTGATGTCATTCGTTTTATTTATGGCGTTACCAGCACGAAAAGGTCATACGAGACGCAATCCTCGTTCGGTGTCTGAACGAGCTGATCTTGCGCCACTTAAAGTTATCCTTCATAGCCGTATTCATTTTGCAGGAATGCCGTACGTCTGAACGGATAGAGCTGTCGAATGCGGCTTTATAGTCGAAAAATATGCGGTATGTGTCGATGTGTTTTTCGTGGGTCTTTTCCACGATTTTGCGCACAGTGAAAATCTGGTCAATGGTGGATTTGCCAGGTCTGAAGCCGCATTGGTATGGTCCAATGATGTCATTGACCATTGGCTTCAATCGTTCACACAGCACGCTGGATAGCACTTTATATGCGATGGGAAGAAGACTAATTCCTCTATAGTTGGCAAATATCGTCTTGTCTCCTTTTTTGTGCACGGGACACAGGATTCTGGATAGCACTTTATATGCGATGGGAAGAAGACTAATTCCTCTATAGTTGGCACATATCGTCTTGTCTCCTTTTTGTGCACGGGACACAGGATTCTGAGGTTCCAATCATTGGGCATACATTCATCTAGCCAAATTGTACTAATCAGCTGATGCATGCTCCTGACCAGCATCTGGCCATCAGTCTTGAATAGTTCGGCTGGTAACCCATCGGCTCCTACTGATTCGTTGTTCTTGAGCCTATCAATTGCTTTTATGACCACATCTTGGCTAGGTGGTATACACTCTTACCATCATCTCTTATTGGTTCTGGGGTATCTTCTTCAACGCCACTATTTGATACCAGAAGCTTTTCAAAATGCTCCTTCCAAATCCTCAACACGCTGTCTGTATTTGTCACCAGGTTTCCTTCTTCATCTCTACAGGAGGATGTGCCTGCACCAAAGCCTTCGGTTTGGTGTTTTACTCATTGGTAAAATTTCCGGACTTCCTTCTGACTCCTGTACATCTCGATTTGCTCATGCTCACGTTTTTCTTGTTCTTTTTTCTGAAAACACGTTTCTCCTCTCTCCTTTTCTCCCGATAATTCTCCATCACGTTACGTGTTGCTACTGTCTGCTGCGTTTTTCACACCAGTAGCATTACGACACTCCTGATCGTACCATGGTTTTCTTGGTGGTGGTTTTTGGTACCCAAGTGTTGCTTTTGCTGCAGTTTGTAGGGAGTGGGCAATTCTTTGCCATTGTGCTTCTACACTATTATCGGGACAAGAAGTGCTTTCTTTAAGCAGATGGGTAAGTTGAGCGGAGTAGGCCTCGGCTACCTGTTGTGTTTGCAGCATTTCGACATCGAGTTTACGTGTTGTCTTAGATCGCACCTTTGCTGCTACATTAAGACGGGTGCGTACCTTGGCTGCCACAAGGTAATGGTCCGAATTGATATTCGCTCCTCGGATCGATCGGACGTCTAAAACACTGCCTTGAAATAGTTTATTTTTAAATACAAGTCTAGAGCTCGTATAGTCCTTGAAATGGCATTCTTTAAAAATCCACACCTAGAGTTCTGAATGGCCTCCAAATAAAGATCTTTTAAAAACATCCCAGGGGCTCAGGAAGTCTTTGAAATAAAAACACTTTGAAAATCCACACCTAAAATGCTCGCATAAATGTCTTCAAAAATCCACGCCTACAACTGATATATTTTAAAAACCCAAAAAATTTATGGCTGTTATTCCTTTCATTTTTTTGTTTAGATCCTCCAAAAATATTCCCCTTTATGCAGGTCAGCATTAAGTCTTTTATATATATTTTCCAAACAATTGTCTTTATGACAAATGCAAATTAAATGACCCTCATCATATTTCTATTAGTAAAAGTGGTCGACGATAAACCAGGTCGTTGAAACTTTTACCTTGTGACACACATTTGCAATGCCCTGTTCAATGTAAACCAGCAATGAACTGGACGGCCTTTTAGCATAAAACAATAATCAAAAAAATCGTTTAGTTGCTTAAGGGGGTATATTGGAAATAAAATCGACAGATTGGTTACATTATTAAAACACAAACGAAATATTTTCTGTCAGGAATTGCAAAGCACTTGACCTGTCAACAACATCGATATCGTTGTTCTACTTCAAGTGGATACTCTGGATGGAGGTATTACTTGTTACTGTTACCAGTCGTTAAATTTTTTGTTTGATTTTTTTTATGAGAACAAAAAACCAAATCCACAAATGGTAAATCTCAACATAAGTGGCCAAAAGCTGAAATGGATTTAGTCCAAAAATGATTGCTGATGCCCACTGCAGGATTATACTGCTGTATCGAAGAACGAAGGATGAGTGGAAAACAAATATTAAATATTCCTTAACATCGACATTTTGTATGTAAAACAATGATGTTAAGCTTTTCGACTTTCCCCTTTTTCCATGCCCTGTACATTACAACAAACCCCCCTATTCGTTTCCATTCCATGTGATTCAATCCAATTCCAATGAACCTAGCCTATGGAAGCAAGGCAAACTGAAATCGATGAATGTAATAAATAAATAAA